CGTTTTTCTCGGCATCATGATCATGTCCTACACCCTGATGCCGGCTCTGGTGCGATGCATTCCTGCCGATGTTGGCCAAGTGACTTACTCCGGAAAACAGATAGTGACAAATGGGTTGGATCCTCAGCGTCTCAGATGAGCCGAGAAGTCGTGGAAGGCGGCCAGAGGGCCGATATCTCGCATTCTGCGCCTTCACCGAACGATGTTCTCAACGAGGGCACTCAAGCCAATGGTAGAGCCGGTCTGCCTTCAGCTAGGGGCACGAAGCGCACAGCGGCAGCGAAATTGAAGCCCAACAGAGAATGCAAGCCACGAAGAAGCCCGAGATTTCGCGCGACACCAGGGTTCTTTATTATTATTTTGAACGGAATCTGAGGACTAACCTCTGTGGTTGATCTAGCACCTTAGGCTGGGGGGGTAATATATCACCCATCACTGGTGCTCCAGGGGTGGTGATACTGTAGTATTTAAATCACTTCTCCCAAGCTGTGACCTGTGACCGCAGGATTCGAACTTGGGGTTTCGAAAATGTGGTGATCTGGCCGTGACAACCAAAAAAAACTTCGAAAATTGGTTGGAAATTGGTGGAACAGCTGACTCTGAGACCTTCAGAAATTAGCAAAAAAGCACCTCCAGCCATAAGGCATTGCAGGTGACAGAGGAACTGAGGTTCAGCAGATGGGCAAGCAAATGTGCTGTGCCAACGTTAGGAACGCAGATTTTGGGAGACACTAATGAGAAAGGTGAGGATCTGGAGCTACCAGGACTCAAGAGTCAAGTAGAGTTGGAATACTCACCTTTGTGTTCATTAACTTTCTATTGCGACAAACTAGGGGGTGTGATGCCAGTGAAAGACAGTGTGGTGGACAGGAAACATGCCCTTATGCGCCGCGCACGCGAAAAATGGGGGTTTTCAAGCCTTTTTCGCCGATTTTGTGACTGGTTTTGCACTTTCGAAAATCCCCTCGGTGACCCGTGACAGGTTCGAAGATTTTCGAAAATTTTGGGCCCTGTGACGCGTGACATTCGAAGTGATTTAAATACTACAGTATATCAACACCGTGTTGTAGGAGACCCGAGTCCTTGGATACAATTTGATTTACTTATTTATTCGCAATTCCTTCTCTTTTGTTAAGATCACCTTAATTATTCATTAATGCCATTGCGGATGACCGCGTTCACGACACATGGCGGAGAAAACAGCCTATGATGTCATGTGGAAGTACGCCTGGCAGTCCAAGAGAAACCTTTTTCGTGGCGTTGCGGAAGTCGCAGTTTTTTTCTACAGTAATCTTGGACCTCTTTCCGGTTTGTGGTTGGTGTACATTCAGCTTGCCCGTGTCCACGTCCGATCTCGGATTATTTCCGCAATCTAGCGTTCAAGACCTAGTTTCTACCCAGGCCTATCATTCAAGCGTCCTACAGATTCGCTCTAAACATCGACTCGGTGGCGGATGCCCGCGTCCACGACACATATTTCTTCTGATTTAAAGTCGTTCCAACCAAAAGCACAACCCTTTTTCGTAGCCGTGAGGTACTTGGTCCTATTTTTTTCCAGAGTGTAGCTAGTGTGGGTTCAGATATGGATGTCCGCGCGGCGATCTCGAGTATTACTTATTACTGGTGATTCTCTTCTCGGTATCGAGTTTCTGCCCGCCATAGATTCAAGCAAAGCGTCTTCAGATTCGCTGTAAACATCAATTGAGGTTGCCTATGTATAGTCATGTGGAAAGTCGCCTCTTCGAACCGGCCCGAGTCATATGAAAGACGTGTACTCTTTTTTTTTTCGTTGCGGTAAGGGGGTCCCAGTTTTCTCTTTCTTTCGAGTTTTCGTCTTGGACCGGGGTAAAATGAGTGGATATATTCGGTTGCAATTACCTGCGTCCCGTTGTATGTATGCGTCGCGCTGGATGTCCACGAGCCGATCCCGTGTTACTTATTTGTGACTGTCTCCTAGGGATCGGGTTTCTGCCCAGGTAACTGATTCGAGCAAAGCGCATTCAGATTCACTCTAAACACCGACTCGGTGGCGGACGCCCGCGTCCACGCCACATAGTTCGTGGAGCCCCTTCATAAAGTCACGTGGAAAAATTGCCTGTTCGAACCAGGCCCGAGTCACTCCCATGTTATCAAGAACCTTTTTTTTGTGGCGGTGAGGGAGTCCTACTTTCCCCCTAGACTAATCTAATCTCGGACCACTTTCCAGTTCGTGGTTAGTGTGTATTCGAATTTCGGCTTGCCTGCATCCGCGCACCGAGCTCGTATTATTTCCTCAATCTCGCGTTCAAGAGCCTGGCTAGGGATCCAAGCAAAACATCTTCAGATTCGCTCTAAACACCGACTCGGTGGCGGATGACCGCGTCCACGACACATACTTTTTCAGCACTTCAATATAAAGTCATGTGGAAAGTTGCTTGTTCGAACCAGGCCCGAGTCATCCCATGATAGCGAGAAACCTTTTTTCGTGGCGTTGTGGGAGTCCTATTAGTTTTTGTTGAGTTCCCGTTTTGGACCACTTTCTGGTTAGTGGTTAGTTTATATTCGTCTGCGTCCCGATGGGGGTTTGCGGACGCCGAGCCGAGCCGAGTGAGGCGCGGTGTCAACGAAGCGGGCTCGTCTAGCTCTAGAGTTGGCCATGCAGAGAAGAGCGAGGCCCCCGCGATGTCCATTCGGACCTAGAATCGCTGCGCTGCTTGGGGATAACTTATTAACGGACAACGAAAATGGGACCTGCCAACTTCCAAGCCGGGTCCCGAGGTTAGTTCGACATGCAGTACGCACGCACGGAGAATCGATAAGTATCGGCCACAGAGGTACAGAGACGTTTAAGTCCACAGAATCGGGGCACAATGCACACCGTACACAGCTGCAGCCAGAGGAGGGGAGAGGCTGTGTCAGAATCTATCGATCGGTGAATTGAATGGATTCATCGGAGGTTCGACAAGGGTTTCGATCCGCGCGTCTTGCTACACCCGAGAACGTTTGAGCTCGTTGGATTCCGCGTCTCCGCGTCTCACTAGTGATTGTGACAGCCTGTGTGGAGTAAACCTTGAATTGGGATTTAGCGACTAGGAGGTCGCTCCAAACAAAAGAGGCTGCAAGGGGCCGAGAAAAAAAAAAGTGGTATTGTCTCCATACATGCCTCCTGTACGCCAAGGACTTCGGGGTCAATGGGAGAATATTTGGCTGAATGGGGGTAGGAAGGCAACAATGCTGGGCGCATACAAACAAAGAACCAAACAAACGCGGTTGATAAACTCAAAGCGTGGAGCTGTTTTTGTCCTTGTTCTCACACTCCTATCCTCCTCCTCCTCCCCTTCCTCCCTCCGCCTCTCTCCTCTCCTCCGCCATGAAGTCCTTCGCCGCCATTCTCTTCTCCCTGTCCCTCATTTCCTCGACCGTCGCACACGGCTGGCTCGGCACCCTCACCATCGCCGGCAAAGCCTACACCGGCAACAAGCCCGTCGAGGAAGTCGGCAAAGGCGCGCCCTCCGTCGTCCGCCAGATCGCGAACAACCTCCCGGTCAAAGACCTCACGCTTGCCGAGATCACCTGCGGCCGCGACGCCACCCCCGCCGCCCTCGTCGCCTCCGCCGCGCCCGGCGACACCCTCCTGCTCGACTGGAACACCCTCGCCGCGGGCGGGAACTGGTTCCACGACGTCGGCCCGATGATGACTTACCTCGCGAGCTGCGGGTCGAAGAGCTGCGCCGACTTTGACGCGAGCCAGGCAAAGTGGTTCAAGATCGACGAGCAGGGACAGGACGCGAGCGGTAACTGGGCACAGGCGAAGCTTGGTAGGTCTCTCTGTCTCCGTCTCAATATCACATCATACATGGGAACTAACCCCCACGCACAGACGACGGCTCCCCCGCCTCCGTTACCCTTCCCTCCAACCTCGCGCCGGGTAACTACCTCCTCCGCCACGAGATCATCGCCCTCCACACCGCCCAGTCCCTCGGCGGCGCAGAGTTCTACCCCTCCTGCTCCCAGCTCACCGTCTCCGGCTCCGGCACCGGCGCCCCCGCGCCCAGCGAGCTCGTCTCCCTCCCCGGCGCGTACAAGCCTAGCGACGCTGGGATCCTAATCGACGTATACAACATGAAGGGCGCGTACCAGTTCCCCGGCCCGCCGGTGGCGGCGTTCGTCAAAGGCGGAAGCAGCCCCGCGGCTCCGGGGAAGGGCACGACCACCACGAAGGCTGCGGCGCCGACGTCTACGCACGCGAGCCCCAGTACAAGCGCGACGAAGGGCGCGCCCGCCACCACGACCCACGCCCCGGCTACCCCCTCGTCGCCCTCGTCCTCCAAGACTTGCAAGAAGACGCGCCGCGCCTCGCGCCGCTCTTTCGCTCCCCCGCACGGGGCGCCCGTGTCTGAGCCCGAGCACGTGGAGGTCGAGGACGTCCCCGCCCCCGCCGTCGACGCCCGCGCGCACGTGCGCCGCCAGCTGCACCGCTTCGGCCGACACGCGTCGTTCTGAGGCCCGCCACACCCAAACTAAACGCATAGGCGTACGACAACACACATAACACACACCACACGATGACACCACACGCACACACACTCCCTCCCCGATACGTACTCACTGTCGCTTTTCTCTTGCTTTCCGACCTGCTCTCTCTTTTTCCACCCTCTTTCCAAATCCGGAATCCGAGCCGAGCCGACCGAGCGTCGACCCGACTTAAGACCCAGCGTCTCCCTCTTCCCTCTCCTTCGTGGAACTAGCTTCTATGTTGACCAACGAACGGACCCAGCGTCCGTGTCCGGCCCAGTGCCAACACACCACCGCGCTTCTTACCTACCGGTAGATAGTAAGTAGCATACTGGAGCAGAACGGGGCCTAGTGCCCCGTTGCAGATAACTGTAAAAAATGAATGAAATGGAAAAAAAACATCTTGTATACTGTATAAGAATTTGTGATGGGAATAACGAATAAGTAGGCGGAGACCGAATCAAAAAAGAACAAAATAAGCGGAGAAAAAGTTTAGAAATGGCTCATGTCCTCGGTGGGAGTCGAACCCACACCTTCCACTGAAGGGAGGCTATCTATAGTCAATCATAGATGGACGATCTACCGTTGATCTACAAGGACGCTATGGAATTATTTTCTTTATGAAAACATCAGTAGTCAGAGGTGATTCGGGTATGAAATAAAAAATAAAAAATAAAAAAAGGGAATATGGATGAAAAGGGACGCCCTCGGCGGGAGTCGAACCCGCGGCTTCCACCGTAAATACTCAGAACGGTATCACACTTAGTGAATGATCTACCGTCGATCTACGGGGGCTTTCTTTGTTTGCTCCGAAGCCGGCTGAAGGACTGGCAGACCCAGCGTCTCTTCTCTCTTTTAGCTCGTGGAACCAGCTTCTACGACCAACGAACGCTCCGTCCGCCGTGTCTTGGCAGCGCCAATGCCAGTAAACATGTAGAGGCTTCTTATCTTATCGTAGCTACCGATTAGTATAATAAGTAGCCGAAAGAAGTAAAGAGCCTGGTGCCATGAAACTGTAGATAACTGTAAAATGAATGGAAATGTTGTGCATAATAGTAAGAATTGGATTGGATGGGGAAGTGAGAGTAAGATAGCTGAGAGAACGAGTCAAAAAAGAAGAATACAGGGGGGAGGGGAATTGAGAGAGAGAGAGTCAAAAAGCATCTCCCAAAGAAGCAAACCCTCGGTGGGAATCGAACCCACAGCCTCCGCCTAAATTTATGCTGGCAGAATTAAACTGGATGATCTACCGTTGATCTACGAGGGCATGATGAACACTGGAGTATAGAGGCATTAGATTCAGAGGAAGGATCCAGGCATTTAAAAAAAATACAATAACAATGGGAACGGGCATGACCGCTGATTGATGCGGCGGCTTTGTCCTTGTTTGGTTGGCAGTGACGGTTGGTTCCAGTTTTCAAATACCTAAGGCTTTTTACCTGCTACATTTAGCATCTCAATTAGCAGGGAAAGTAACATTAAAACGAGCATTAAAATACAGTTACGTAGAGATATTTTTAATATTTGTTCAATACACGCAATGAGAGCAGATTTAAAGAAAGACTGAACACCCACTCGGCGAGGGCGATGAAAATGGAAGATACGGCTACGTAACGTTGTGATTAGGTCATTTATAAACGACTTTACCCGCGAAGTCAAGACAATTCACATATAGCTGAGAGAGTTATAAGCTTTTTTGCAGGCTTTCCACAAAATCGATTCTGATAAGGGATGAAACCCCGCTATTCAGGATTTATAGCCTAACGAGGTCTGTAAGAGCTACATAAACATTTTTGCAGCTTTGAAATATGAGAGAACATTCATAAACCCTTTGAAAGAGGCGAATAGCTTGAATTGTGACATATGTCACATTTCTGTGACTCCCTGATGATTCAACCAAGTTCTGAGAAGTTCGCGGCAGTATGACGCGAATTCTCCGTCTAAGCTAATCCGACTTCAATATAATACTTACCAAATGCCTACGAAACAATTCTGGGCTATCAACTGGTATAAAATCACTAAAAATGGTTGATTTTACCGAGAATTACCACTTGCATGGAAATTGTAAGCGCAATGATGGCATAAATACCCAAATATGAGCAGATTTTGTATTCAATGAATCATTGAATTAGTTTTAAACACTCAAAAAGTATTATTGCTTGCCATCGGGTCTTGTAGATACGAGGTTTTGCGAGTGAGGCTTACACAAAGTCAAGAGGTTACGACTTTTTGTGGAATTTGTTGGTGGGTCATATAGCCATGATGATTTTTAACATCTTCTTCAGCGAAAGTATGTTCGAGAGGATGGCGAGGGACCTCATACTGGATGGAACAAGCAAACTCGAAATTTACTTCAGGACAAACAAAGATCAACATGGCGGATCAATCATAGACGGTGCCCGTTCCCAATAACAACATGGAGTCGACGAGGAAGGATGCCCTCGAACCCACACCTTCCACTAACCCAAAAGTAAAGAAAGCACACTTGGAGTGGATGATCTACTGATGATCTCCGAGGGCTTGAATGCTTTTGAGTGATTCCACCAGGTATGTAGAAGGAAGTAAAAGAAAGGAAATAAAAAATTGACCAGTGCTCCTAGTATTAATTGGATGGCGCACTACAGGAGATTCGAATAAACATGCCACAAAAGGAACAAAAGAAGGCACCCTGTATTAGCGGGTAGTAGCTAGGCCCCCAGAGTAGGATTCAAAACCACTTCCTTTTCATTAATACAATGCCACGACTTGTAGTTATGTATAAAGCAAAGATGATCCACCGATCACTATTTGAGTACGTTGTCGTTGAGCATGTGTTCCGAGTCCGCCGTAAGCAGAATGTAACCATTTGTTTGTATATTCGCTGCTTCAAGAGGGACCGGTGAATAAAATATAGACAACAAGTTGAATACCTCCCAATGTGCTTGAAAGCTACGAAAGAAGACTGAATAGATTTTATTCAACCATAAAGTTTGTTAAGTTGAAGACTAAATAAGTTTGCTGATTCAGCGAAGAGTGCTCCGAGAGTATAAACCATGATGCATCTCATCGGCATGTTCAAAAGACACTGACTTTGATTTTGTGCTGATTTTTGCACTGAGCAATTGTACCCGCTGTTTACCATTCACGTCACAACATTCACGTACGGCAAGTAACTTAGCAACTGGGGCCGGATCGCGGCAGTGTTGATGGCGGCTGAGTCTTGCTCCAAACTCCCATGTCCATCCTCGACTTGTCCGTCGAGCTTTTCCAGGAGGTCATCTACAGAGTGCAATAATCTGTATCATAGAGGGACATTGTATTGACTACTCATCCCAGATTCCTTCTGATCACAAACACCTTCGCACCGTGTGTAAGACCTTCAATTTTGCGATTGCACCACTGTTCTTCTCTTCCGTCCTCCTGGATGTGCACCAGTCTCGGCTTGAACTGAGTCTCTTGCACCTGAAAGCCCTGGCGACGGAGAACACCCCTTGGTCCCAATTCGCTCGGACGCTCAAAATCGAGCACCTCTCTCCATCCTTAAAATACTTGTCCTCCAAGGCGGTGCAGGAGGGCAAACAGTATACAGATAATGAGCTGAAACTGGCAGACGATCGTATGAAACAATTCCTTGGACTAGCTCTGAAATCACTGAAGAATGTCCAGACTGTTATATATGCGTCTGCTGATACACTTCTTCAGTAATTTAACACTTTACAGATGGACATCCCGCAAAGAAGATGCAGATTGAACAGCGGAAGCCATCACTGTCTTTCTGAACTCCCACCCCGCATTAGAAGATTTCCGATTAACGGCCGACGGTCTGAAATCCAACTGCTCCTTTGACCAACTGAACGGTCTCCGGAAACTGTCTCTTACATGCTCCTCGTCGCGTCTTCCGACAGAACTTACCCACTCACTGTCTGAGGCAGTTCGGAACAGTCCTGGCCTGGCCTCTCTTCACCTCCAATCACATTATCTCCAGCACGACGAGGTGTTCTCCTTTGCCGACATACTCCACGGTCTCTCCCACGCACATCCCCTCCATCTGACTGAACTTCATCTAAATAACTTTACCCTACCACTGGACTGTAGCATGCTACCCCATCTGCGATCTCTCAAGTCGCTTTGGTGGTTTGGCGGATACTCACGGACACAGGAGGGTAAATCTGTACCCGTTCGACGAGGGTGGCATGGGTTACATGGAGAGCACATCCATCTCCTCGAGATCCGCACCGACATCATTGATGAGGATCTAATAGCATACCTCTCATCGTACGCAGGCCTCGAACGGCTGAGCATCTTCTCGGCTGGTGGGGCCAACAAAAAACAATCTAACCAGCGTGCAGACAATTTTTTTGCACATGCATTACTTCCCCACAGAGGTTCACTCGTGGCACTTTCGTGTTTGCCTCTCTATGAAGGCAGATGGAGTTTCGGCGCCCACAATGCTGGCGTGATATCACAGTTCCACAAGCTCAGATCCCTCCGGATGAGTGTCAACTCTGTATCCGATGGGTATGCACCTCAAATGGGACTAGGCGGCGTCCGTGGTCACGGTAGCCGCAAACTATGCCAAATCGAGAGCGATAAAGATGGGTGCAATATGGTGGTGCGCTGCATTCATTATTTACTCGTGTGTATGCGCACGTATCCTGATTATACATTCAGCATCGGTTCCTCGAGCTGATAGTGCAGCTCCCAGTCATAGATGCGGTCATCTTTCCCTCGATTCCTGAGAATTTCCGGAATTTCCACAGACGTGGATTGAATACCGTTGGGTCCCACCGCGGAGACGTCCTTAGGGTAATTGACGGCGCGATGCGGGAGTTCAAGTTCACGGCCCTGCTGGGCCGTGTACATGTGTCGTCAGCCGTAGTGCTTGCTGGCTATGGTTACTTCAAGATGAAGGATGAGACAGGCAGATACGACGTTGTAGAATCCGTCAATATTTCGTGGCTGAATTCGTATGTTTTGGGACCGTAGTTGAATTGGATTCGTTTTTTCCGTGTTCGTTTTTGTTCTTTTCTTTTGTGAAACCCCGCGGCAACGTGTGGCTCTGGTAGGTAGGTAGGATTACACAGCACGGTCCCGCTCCTAGAGCGATCAAGATTGACGTCGACGCTGCATGATGTCGACGTCAATCTCGAACACATTGCCGCCCACGCAAATTTCTAGCTTGGACCACGCAATATTGTTGGTAGTCTGGTTAAGTGGTTATAGCCAGAACCAACAAAATGTCAACCCCAGGTGCCAAAGACCCCGGGAATTTAAACCTCTGGCAGCTGGCCAGTGGGCTACCAACAGAGTTGGAGCAACGCGATGTTTAAATTCCCGGGGTCTTTGGCATTTTGTTGGTTCTGGCTATAACCACTTAACCAGACTGGTTATAGCCAGAACCAACATATATATCACTGACCTACGAGAGCATGATTGTATTCGGTGTATTCGCCATGCCATTTAGCTTGAAGGAAAAAGAATGGCGCAAAGTTTGAACCTGTCCTCTTTGGAGCTGTAGACGTACCCAAAATATGGGATGAACTGTCCGCCTAGTGCTTGTTTTTCTTTCTGTGGGGTTTCATATTGAGCCCAGAGCTTTCTTCGGTCTGATCAGTTTGTCGAAGCGCTGATGTTGGAAGTTGAACCAAATCTCACGGTGATATTCAATCACCCCGAAGGAATCTTTGAGTGCTTTTTTGGATGTTTATGTCTGAGTTTTAGGTTCACATCTTCACAATAACTCCTCCTCACTCTTTCGCCGTTCCCGAGGGCTGGAGGAAAATATTTCAGTTGAACCGGTATCCTTGCCCGTTTGGGACCCGACTTGGCAGGTCTCTTTTTGGCTGTCCGCTATCTCCAACCAACTAGCACAGCGATGGTAGGTCCGAGTGGATGTCACGGGAGCCTCGGACGCTTTGACCCTTTCCTCTGCATGGTCAACTCTAGACGGGCCTGCATCATTGACACCACACCTCACTCAGCTCGGCGTGCACAACTTCCCATTGGGACAAGGATAAATCGAGCCGAATTTAAACTAACCACTAATCAGAAACGGGTTTGACTTGAACTCAACAAAAACTAGGATGCCACGGAAAAAGGTTATGACTACTACAGAATGACTCGGGCCTGGTTCGAACAGGCGTACTTCCATATGGCTCTATATCGAAAACTGTTGACAAACTATGTCGTTGACGTGGGCATCCGCCACCGAGTCGGTGGTTAGAGTGAATCTGGAGACGTGTTATTTGAATTCTTGGGCGGAAACTCAGTCCCCAAAAGAGAATCACAAGTAATAACACGAAATCGCCGCATGGATATCTATCGGGGTTGGATGTACACCACACTGACCACTAATCGGAAAATGGTCCAATATTTAGTCTCTTATAAACAGACACTACAACGGGAAGCTCGTGCCTCGCTTGTTGTAGTCTGTCGATTCCCGTGATCAAGTGATTGGAGGGCGGCCTTATTATGTAATCTCGAATTTCTCGCTTGCCAAAGTCGAGTCCACAACGCGTCTTTCGCACTTTTTAAGCATCAGGAACATTAGGTGACTTGATTCAAGCTACCCCGTCTCTGAGTGCATGGCGCCAAAGGTAGAGAACAAGAATATCGAACGTTGATGCACCGCCACACGGCAAACACCGAGATATTGTTTTGCGCAAAAAGACCAATAACGGGCACATTCTGTAAATGCAGAATGACTTTAAATACCATTACAAGACACTTTCTCTCTCAGTCCTTGTTGGTAGGACTACTGCAAGGGTGGAAAGGCCGAGGGAATATATTTAAACTCCGACGATTATGTAATAAGGCTACCCTCCCTACATCAGTGGCGCGGTTAACTACAGACTATCCAATATTACTCTAGAAAAAAGCTGGACTCCACGGAAAAGGTTTCTTTGGACCGGTGGAATGACTCGGACCCGATTCGAACCGGCGTCTTCCACATGTCATTATACGGTATCATTGCGATGTGTCGTGGACGCGGTCATCCGCCACCGAGTCGGCTTTTAGATTCAACTGGTGACGCTTTGCTTGAATCCCTGGTGGGCAAAAATTGGATCCCAAGAAGAAGAGAATCACAAGTAACATAAAATCACGCATACATCCATCGGGGATGCCTGTATACAGTACCCGGAGTGAGGCTCAAGAAGAAAAGAAAGCCGGCTTCAGCACCAGCGCTGCCGCCAAGACGAAAAAAAATTAGCGAATACCTGCGGCACAGTACAACATGCGAGGTACGAGCACAATTCTGTTGTAGCGTCTGTCTACGAGAGACTACGGCACAGTATGCGAGGTACGAGCACAATTCTGTTGTAGCGTCTGTCTACGAGAGACTAGCGGCACAGTGACTCGAGCCTGGTTCGAACAAGTGTCCTCCCTCATGACTTTATATATGCCACCTTGGGAAACTCGTATGTGTAGTGGACGCGGGCATACGCCACCGAGTCGGCTTTTAGAGCGAATCTGGAGACGCATTGTTTGACTCTCAGGGCAGGCAGAAACTGGACCTTAAACGCGAGACTGAGGAAGAATCACATGACCGCGCGGACATCCATTGGGACGCAAGCAAGCCGAATATACACTACACTGACCACTAACCGGAAAATAGTCCAACATTAGATTAGTCTAGGAAAAAAGCTGAGACTCCCTCACCGCCATGAAAAAAGATTGTCTCCATGATGGAATGACTCGGTCAACCTGATTCGAACAGGCAACTTTCCACGTGGCTTCCTTGAGCAGCTAGGATAATTCTCGTGGACGTGGGCATCCGCCACCGAGTTTGCTTTTGGATTCAGCTGGGGACGTTTTGCTTGAATCTCTGGGCAGAAAGTCAATCCCGAGAAGAGAATCACAAATAATAAAACCGAGATCGCCGCGCGGACATCCATCGGGACGCAAGTTTGTTGAAAACTACACTAACCACTGACAGGAAAGTGGTCCAACATTAGATTACTCAAGAAAGAAACTAGGACACCCTCACCGCCACCAAAAAAGGTTCTCGATAACGATGGAGTGAATCGGGCCTGGTTCGAACAGGCGTTGCGAGTTCACCGTGGTTTGATTTCCGCGGACTCGAATATCTGCGGAACTGTTTGAGTGCGCGCGGGCGGAGGAAGGCGTGTGGATGGGGGGCACACTCATTTCGACTCGGCGCGATCGTGGCTGCTAGACCAGCGACACCCGCTCCGACGATCGAGACATTCAGAGGCTGCGGGGTGGGGTTGCTATATGTCATCCCTGGGAATGCATTGATTGTCGCCGGTCATTTGAACCTTCTTGGTCTGGCCCGTTTATCCTGAGAACAGAGAGAGTTAGTCTACAACTATGACCAAAGAACCCACGGTTCAATAGCGGTTTGTAAGGGCCACACAATTCCGGCTTGACACGCCAGGTTTGGCAGGCTGGACGCGCTCGGTCATGAGAGTTTGTCGAATTTATCCCTGGAAGAAGAAAATTCACACCAGTGTCACTCTCAATGAAAAAAAAAAAAAGGGGGGCATCAGGCAGCGGGCGTAATGAACATATCGCGAACTTGTAAGTTATCAGAACTCTGTAGCTGGAAAGTGGACAGTTAATCCGGAAGATATTCAAGTCTGAGGAACCCACATAGAGTTGACGACGCTGTGGACGGCACGAAGAAATATGCGGGCAGTGAAGTACCTGAACGAGATTGAAGATGGCAGCCTTGTTGCTAACTTCCAAATTCACGGAGTTGTCGTCATGGATTCGGGGGGCTTAATTCCCGCCGATGCCAGCGTGCGTCTGTCTCGAGGCTTTTCGAGTTGCCGCGTAGTGGTAGACGTAGCATGAACACCACGAGCACGCGCAATCACAGCAGATGTTACTTGCGTGTCCCGTACCAAGGACCGCGTCCCGCCCATTATCTTCCGCAGAAGTCTAAAGAGGTCGCGCAGCATGCCCGCGCCCGCTAGGCTCAGAAAAGAGAAGAAGAGAATTGCAGATAAAGGGGACGATCTTGCCACGCGCGCGTGTTCCCTCCCTCGAATTTTCGATGGTAACGCACGATACCACCACAGCAGGCGCGGGGGAGAAAATGCAGTGGGTTCGACGATAAGGACGGCGGCAACACAGAGGACCTTGAGCTCTTTGTTGGTGATCAAGGTCGGACCATACTAGAAGGTCGCTGTGCAATCGGGATTTGGGCAGGCCTATCACTCGGAGGAGGAGGACACAGTGAACGCACGAGAGGTTCGATGCGCAAGCGCGCAGCTGTTTGTGAAGAGATTTTGTGGAGATAAAGATGTATAGCTCAAAACGAAGAAAATGGACGAAAGGGGGGCATCGGCGATCATGACACTGGTTTTGTAGCAACGGTTCCCCGAAATGGCCTGCCAGCTACCACTTATTTGACATTCTAGATCGAACAGCGCGAGCATGAATTTTAGGTTATCGATTTGTTGTCGTCGATCATCCAAGACTCAAGTTGTCGATCACTCTATGGGATAAGGAAAGGGCTGGAATGGCAGCCAGCTTGAGTGGAGGATGTCTCGCAAAGTAGACAGCCGGATTTCAGAGAAACTAGCGAATTCCGACGAGTGAGATGCGTTGAACGCCGCAGAAGAAGAAAGGGAGGTATTTTGTTTTGTTTGGATTGAATCAACTTCAGCTTTCACCAGTGACCAAACCATCTTCGTCGGCTTACAAGATTCTAGAGATCTAGCGCGTATGGTCAAGTTATCCTGGCTTGAAAGTTTCCACCCTCGACTCGGATCGCGCGATGAATCAGCTTTACGGTCCGAGTGTCTCTGTACATCTAGAGGACTCTTTTTCGTTTTGTTCCTCCGCAGCGGCTGCCCTTAGCGACAAGCCCCTCCATAAGCCAGGAATATTGGACCAAGACGGATGACGTGAGGGATACTTTGCATGGTTATGCTTTCGGGTGTGCTGCCTCTTTTCTACCCGTCGCGCCAGCCATCGTCCGCGGGGTTGCGGAACCTCCCGGTGCACAACATCAGGGCAATGTTCACCTAACCTCGGGAGCTGCGCCGAGTCTGACGCAAGCCAGACCAAAGGTGCAAAATCGACGAACAGGGTAGGACGCGAGTGGTTTCTGGGTGCGGGCAAAAGCTTGGTGTGTTCCTCTCCCCTCTTTCTCGATGAAAGATAAGAGACTAACGCCTACGCACATACAATGGCTCCTCCGCCTCCGCCAACCTCCCCGCCAACCTCGCGCCCGGCACCTACGTCATCCGCCACGAGGTCATCGCACTCCACACCGCCCTATCCCTTGACGGCGCCGAGTTCTACCCCTCCTGCTCCCAGCTCATCGTCTCCGGCTCCGGCATCGGCGCCCCCGTGCCCAGCGAGCTCGTCTCCTTCCCCGGCGCGTACAAGTCCAACAACGCTGGGATCCTGATCGACGTGTACAACATGAAGGGCGCGTACCAGTTCCCCGGCCCGCCGGTGGCGGCGTTCGTCGGGGGCGGGAGCAGCGGCGGCGGTGGGGCACCGGCGACACCGGCGAAAGGCACGACCACCAAGGCTGCGACGTACATGCACGTGAGACCCCAGTGCGAGCCCGACGAAGGGCGCGCCCGCCACCACGATGCCGCACGCCCTGCTACGCCGTCGTCTCCGTCCAAGACGTGCGAGAAGACGCGCCGCTCTTTCGCTCCCCCGCGCGGGGCGCCCAGGGCGAGCGTGTGGAGCTCGGGGACGTCCCCGTCCCCGCCCCCGCCCCCGTCGTCGACGCCCGCGCATGTACGCTGCCAGCTGCACCGCTTCGGCGCGCGCGCGTCGTTCTGAATCTGAACCCGCCACACCCGAACGCATAGGCGTACGACAACACGAAAACAACTCCACATGATCGATGACTCTCTCTCACCGATACTCACTGTCGCTTTCTCTTACTTTCCGACTTGCTCTCTCTTTTTCACACTCTGTCCGAATCCGAGCCGAGCCGAGCCGGCAGAACAAGCATCTCTCTACTCGTGGAACCAGCTTCTATATACGACCAACGAACAGACCCAGCGTCCGTCCGTCCGCCACATCTGGCTCGGCGCCAGCGCTAGTAGCTACCGTGTAGACAAGTTGGGCCTAGTGCTTTTGTGTGTAACAGTGTAAATAAGATGGATAGAAAAAGTTGTGCAAGTTAACAATTGGACTGGGCGGGGAAGTGAGAATTGAATGGGGAAGTAAGAATAGCGGGTGGATGAAGAGGCTGGAGCAGAAAAAAGAGAAATATACAAAAGCAGCTGTCCATTGCCCTCGGTGGGAGTCGAACCCACAGCCTCCACGATGATATTTCAAGACTGGATGATGAAAAGTGAATGATGTACTGTTTATCTACGAGGGCATGTTGATTTGATTTAGTGGGCATATTTAGCCTACAGTTTGAGGGGCAAGAAGAGAATAGGAAAGAGGATAAAATTTTCACAAAAAAAATATTGCATGTCCTTTGATAAGCGGGAGCTGAACCACGAGAATGTCCACAGAAAATGGGACAGGAGAGATTCTATGTTCTACGGACCGTTTATTGCCAGTAAATAGAGGCTTCTTAGCTACCGTATAGTAAGTAGCCGAAAAAAGTAAACGGCCTAGTGCCCTGTTGTAGATATTCAACTCACTTGGAATGGATGATCTACGAGGGCGTGATCGACATTGATTTCTTTATGGTTACAACTTGCTTCTGATATTCCACAGAACCGGGGTACCGACGTCCATCCTACAGTGGTTCACCGAAACTTACTTCAGATATTTTCCAGAACCTGTTCGACGCTATCGTCACAGATCGACCATGTGAGTCTTCTACAGTTATATCACACACACACTTACTGAATTCATAGACCGTGTTCGAGCTGGTGCCCAAAGATTGGAGCGCAAGAAGGAGCTCAGCGAAGACAAGAAGGTAGCCAATAATATTGAACATCAATTATCGGCACGAAATTAAGCTTTACATTCTGCAACCTGTCCAGTTTGATCAAACTGTGGGCTAGTAATAAGCACGAGCCTTATGTTCCACCAACAAAGCCCTATGAACTATCGCTTCTCAGCAGACCTTGTTCTACTCGCCAGATATCTTTTAAAGCCAGATTGTCGCAAAAGTCGCCTTTTAATCAGTAGGCAAGATAGCGCCTTTCTGAACCTTATGAGCAAAATAGGCGGGGTTAAAAGTACTTCGCTATAACCCTGTGTGTTTTGCCTATAAAATTCAGAAAGGCCCTATCCGAGGTTGTACTCCAAATATTTGCGACAATCGAAGGCTGGTTTTCTTTTTATCAATAGTAAACGAGCACTACGAAGAAGTGGACATCCAGTCCATGCTCTGTCATGGCATGGTCTTGGTGGCGAACTCATTGCAAGATTTTAGACCGTGGGGAAGAGTGAAGCGACCCCAACCTTACTTCGAGACTCGATTGACCGTTGTGTAGCTTGTGATCATTCAAAAAACGACGCACGATTCTTATCCTCCTCCGTCATTTGAAGAGAAACGTGATCCCGGCAGGCGCATCCCAGCGCATAAAGATTTCAGAGAGCAGTACTTCCGGAGCTACAAAAAAGGAAAGCGACACGCCACAACAGCTCTGTTGCGGTGTAAATGCATATATGTACATAGTGTATCAGGGATCAAGGCCCAGGAGAACGCGGCGGAGCTTGGAAAGACGTCGATTGCTGCAATTTTTCTTGATCCAATTGCCTTCTTGTCTGCTGGCCGCGCAAAAAGAATATAGAAGCGCTGGTTGCCATTACAATCGTGCCGTTGAAAATGAGGGCACGACGCATGTTCAGAGGAGGATTTGCGCCTGGACCGGCACGCAAGGCACCTTCCACTATAATAGGTTATTAGTTCAACTCTACAATGGGAAGCGAGTGACGGTTACCCAGTGTGAATATGATTGTAAAGCCATTACATGCAAACCACAAGAGCGCCGCACTGCCATCCGCATTTCTGGTTATCTCGCAAGCCAGTTCCAGTGAAACAGGAAGCATGGTGACCGACGTCACGCCAATAAGCGCACAGATGGCATACAGACCCCCCGTGTTGTTTGGCTTGACTGGAAATACCGGTTTAGGAAAGTTAGATCGGTTTTGTTATGTATGACCTACCGGCCCAGATAAGGGATAGCCAAGCGGCAGCAAGGATAGGAACAAAAAATTTGGTTGTAATCGCGAGGTGGGAGGTAAAGATTCGGTCGAAAATGGGGGTGGTAACTATGGCAGCTACGATGCCGCTCAAAAGCAAGACAGCCCCCATAAAACCAGCCGTCTCGGAGGAATAACCAACCGGTTGCTGAGAAAGACTCAGCGAAGAGACGGAATCGAAGGAGGAAATTTTCAGACCAGGATTTCAGCGGTCAAGATACCAAAGACGTAGCTTCTAATAGCCAATTGTCAAAGATGGAGAGCTACTGTTAATGAGAAAGACTAACGCAGACGAAAGAACCCCAAAAACAAAGAGGACAATTATCTAGCGGCCAAATTGAGAATGGCAAGACATGATAAAGAGACCACTGACAAAGTCAATTCGTTCCCGAACGGTCATCGAAGGATCTGTTGATTGACCCTTGTTGAACATGACACGTAATAAAGGGAGTAATCCCGGCGACTTCTTCGATGCCGAATACGCTGTTGAAGACCCATTGAATTTTTCAGCTGGACAGGAGAAAAGAATGAATACTAGGAGGTGTCGGTGGTGCAGCACTGATCATGAACACAAAAGGAGCCGCTACGGACGACATAATACCGAGGACTAAGATCTGAAAGAGGTCTCAATCATTGTGAAAGGGACGTGAAGTGCATTACCGATTGCCTGGTGTCACCGACAATCGGACTGAGCAGTTGCCCCAAAGCTCCTCCGATAGGGTTTGCTGCAAACAGATTAGCGAGAAGGGAAAGACGTCAAAGTAATGAGAACCTATTGCGACGACCATCGTTGCTGTCGTACGGCCTTTCAGACCAAACCAGGTCTCAGAATATTTAGGGCCGATAACCTGGAATATGGGTTGCGCAACGGCCGCAAAGAACTATATGGTTCTGCATGAAGAATTATCGGGGGATTTTCGATATAATGCTCACCTGCCCAATGAACAGAAGAGCATACGCCCCTCCTCTGGAGAGTGAATGTACAGTGCCTGCGTAGCGTATCCACGCAGAAATAAGTAATGCAACTGCGCCAAGATCGCACTGGTAAACCCCGTAGACGGATTAGTAGGTGAATAGTTGACGAGGTACAAACTAACACATCTCCGGATTCCGTATCGTCGAATTGCCTCCGGTATCATGAGAGAGACTGGCAAGTAAATGCATCTGTTGCGGTATGGAATAAATAAATGAAAAACGCAGTGGGTGCACGCACGCCATGACATTTCCCAGCCAGTTTACTTCGTCCAAAGTGATCCCAAAATCGGCGACCACTAAAAGACATGAATATCCCAACGGAACAGATATCGAGCCATGAACTTACTGTTGTTTGATATCGGACCGAACCAAGGCCAGGTCATCCCGGAAACGAGGTTTAATACCGCCCAAGCGGGAAAATGAGGTATGAGAGGGCAAGAAGAGAGCAATAACTTACCAGACCGATAATGCCGGTGAATCGGCGTTTGTACAACCTGTAGTCGAGCGTGCCAGAATGAACGCTAACCACCTCGGCCTTGCGCTCGCCATCGGTGAGATCCTTCTTGGCGTCGACGGGAGACAACTGGGGCTCGTCATGGATGTCCATGAGATTGTCGCCTCTGCTGGCTACCAAGACTGACCCGTCGTCACATGTACCGTTTCATAAGGCGCAGATTGGGCGCAGATGAAATTCCCACTATCAGAATGAAATGGATCTTGGCTGCCCCTCCGACACTTTGACGCAACTTTGTGACAGGATCATCCCCGTACAAGCTCCATCCCATGACACGCATCAGCTCCGAATCGGGCGATATCCTGGTTCAGTACGTCTGATCTGCAGGCTGCCTTAAGCTTGCTTTCCGAAACCATGGAAGGGAAAAGAATATCTTTGTCAGAGTGCTCATTACGCTGAAAACACGAAAGAATTCAACATGCAGACAGCCCCAAAGTAAAAGTGAAGAAAAACACCCTGTCAATGTTCATTTCGGAGCTGTATACATGGCCAAAATACAGGATTAAACACAGAGAGTGTCTATATTTTTGTTGGTTTTCCCATTGAAGCCACAGCTTTCTTCGGTCTAATCGGTTTGTGGAAGTACTAATGCTGGAAGTTGAACGAGAATATTTAAACCACGTCGTAGGAATTTTCGGGTGCTTAAGTCTGAGTTATATTAGATTTTCTCCTCACCCTTCAGCCGTGCAGTACCCAAGAGCCGGGAAAATCTCTCGTAGTTTGAACCACAGAGCGGACCGAGCCGGCCAGTGAGCGGAGTTTGAAATGGGATCAAGCTCCGATCTCTCGGAGTGCAGGCAAAGTACCTCATCGGCATGTTCAAAAGACCCTTTACTTCGCGCTGATTTGTACTACGCGACAGCTTGGTGAATACCGGTAAGCGGGAATCACCTGTAATATATATATATAGTGGCAGTGTTGATGGTGGCTGAGTCGTCTTCTTGCTCCCAACTCCCATGTCTATCCTCGCCTTTTCCATCGAGCTTTTACAAGAGATCTTCTACAGAGTACAGTATCTCCATCATACAGACACATTCCGCTGACTACTTGCCCCAGATTCCTTCTGATCACAAACACCTCCGCGTGGTATGCAAAAACTTCAACTTTGCCATTGCGCCACTGTTCTTCTCTTCCGTCCTCTTAGATGTGCAGCAGTCTGGGCTTGAACTCGGTCTCTCGCACTTGGAAGCGCTGGCGACAGGAAACACCTCGTGGTCGCAGTTCGCTCGAACGCTTAAAATCGAGCGCCTCTCTCCATCCTACAAATTTCCGGCCTCCAAGGCGGTGCAGGAAGACAAACAGGATACAGATAATGAGCTGAAACTGGCGGACGAGCGTATGAAAAAGTTCCTTCCTTCAGCTTTAGAATCCTTGAAGAATGTGCGCACTGTTATGTAGGTGTCTGCCGATACACTGGTTGAAACTTGCTCTGTAACTTAACGCTGGGCAGATGGACATCCCGCAGAGAGGACGCGGAGTGGACCGCGGAAGCCGTTGCTGACTACCTGAACTCTCACCCTACATTGGAAGATTTCCGATTGACGGCCGACGGTCTAAAATCCAACTGCTCCTTCAATCAACTGAATGGTCTCCGGAAACTGTCTCTCACATCCCACTCGTCGCGTCTTCTGACAGAGCTCACCCACTCACTGTCTGAGGCGGTTCGAAACAGCCCCGACCTTGCTTCTCTTCACCTCCAATCACACGATTTCTCATGTGACGCG